ATCTGCAAGTGTGGGTGTTCTTGTGCATATCCCCTCACTTCTTATCTGCTGGATGCTTCACTCTCCACTCTAGTCCTCTGTGGCTGTGTCACTGACTCTGGGCCCAGGAGTCCCCAGGTCTTGCCGTACTGCTGGCCGACTAGGTCTCCACCCGGGTTCACAGGAGTCTATTGAACGTGGTAGAACTTAGCTCACAGCTTCATTGCTGTTTTTCCATCACTTCCCCTTATCGGTGACCAACGTGGTCACCAGTCAGAGCGCATGTCTGCTTGTGTATTCCCCTTGAGTCTTAGTCTTGGAATGGGGTTTGCCCTGAGGGGACCTAACCACTTGCCTCGATGCCTTCTGGTCAAGGAACTTGCTTGTTCTTGTAGCAGTTGGTCAGACTGCAGTTACTGTTTTTTATTTTTCTTGTCAGTCTTTCTTACAAGAAGTATCTTCTGTTCTTCTAGCCACTCCAGGCTGGTCTGCTTATCCTTTCAAGTGGAAATTTCCCACCTCAAAGGATTCTGGATGGGGTTCAAGATTCCACCTATGGTATTATGCAATGCAGAGGCTCTGCAGGAAGCCTCCTTCACTGGGCAAGTTGTAGCCCCATTTTAAGTATTCCAATCAGTTATAGGCAGAAGACGTGGATTTACAGGCTTTCTATGGTGATATTTCTGGCTATTCCTTTTTCTTCCCCTCAAGTGTCTATTTTATAATGGTATACAAGGGAAACCAAGATTCAAAAGACAGCCAAGCATCTTCACATTATTTCCCCTCTTTTACCCATTTTCATTTTCTTTTTAAGAAAATAGCTAGGTTTGCTTTCGAATGGCCTGAGTGATTATACTAAATATAATCCCAGGATTTAAAGACATTTGTTGAAAGAAATGCAGTGATTAATAAATAATACTGCTTCCAGACCCCTGCCACAGCATTAATCTGGTGTGAATTCCATCTCCTAGTGTATCATTTCGTTGTGTTGTTTTCAAAGGAATATAATCACGTGGACACAGCAAGCACAGCTTTTCTTTTAAATGCAGGAAAAGCGTGTGTGGTTTCACCTCTTCAAAGGCTGAGGCCTTGACTAGTCTTGCATCTCCTTCTATGAATGTCATATTCCCTTCCAACCTCCTCCATCCTTTGACTTAAGCAGCCTGAGTTCATGAAAAGGTTCAGATAAAAGTTAATCATGTTTGGAACTCTTAATTTTGTGCTGTGTTTTGATACTGTGTTCTGAGTCGTCTTTGGGCATCGCAGCGCTTCATCCCTGTGTTTGATCGAGACAGAAGGGTCGAATGGCCCCATTGACTGTTGGGGAGGTGTTCCTCAGAATTGCCGAGTCAACAGGGAGGGGTAAGAGGTGGAATAAAGAGAAGAATTTAATAAACACAAACTCGTCAGGGGCCCAGGTCAGTTCTGAGGCCGAGGCCTGTCTAGAACATGGGCTTTTCCCTCCTATCCACCTCTGAACTCGAGTGCTGACATTCAGAAAAAGAATGAAAATAGCACTTGTTTGCTTTACTGCAAAGAAGTGGCTGGCCAGCTTGGCTGCCTTCCCAGAGGCCCTGAGAGGACTTCAGATGTGGTTGATGAGATATCTAGATGGTGCCAGCCTGCCCGACCCTTGTCCAGGCAGCCTGCCCCAGGAGCCAGCAAGGCCCAAGGATATAGCGGGCTTGTGACCTGTTCACTGTCTTGTTGTGCAGTCTTGCTTTCTGAGGTGAGGCTGCTCCTACGCTGAATCTTGATTGGCCAGGTTTGATATGGCCTCTGCCCCCACTTCCTTCATGTGCTGAAAGAGGAACTTAAAGTCAATGGACAGATGAGAGTGTGGGGAGGGCCCATCTAGAAAGTGCAACACACCGAATGTGGTCAAGTAGATGGAGCCCACGGCTGGGCCACTTGGTCTCATGGTGCTCTCGTGGCGCTGGTATGGTCTGAAGCCAGAACTGGGTTTACATCTTTGCTCCACTATTTACTACAGTTTCCTGAACCACTCTGAACTTCACTCTGAACCTCATCTGTAAAATTGAGAGTCAGAGTACCTGCCCACCAACTAAGATAGAATGAGTGCTGGTGCCACCACTTGGCAGTCAGTGGGCATAGTCTGCTGTTAGCACCATTATCCATAATGGACTGGGCTTGGCTCAAGGAGCTCTTTTTCAACCTGAGGATAGAAAGTTTGATGGGGAGGGCTAACCAAGCACCGTCTCCTCTCAGTCTCCCCCAGAGCCAGAATGTAGAGGATGGTGTTGGATGCAGCCAGTGTGGAGCTCTTGTCGCTGCTGCCTCCACCTGGTGGCTGACAAGCAGCCTTACTTTGTTTCTGCGTGGTGGTCACCGAGCCATGCCTGGACCTTGGACTGTGGGCACGAGTAACCTGTGTTCAGGAAACACTCTTGTGAACAGGGGTCTCTTGTGTCCTCTGGGGAGTGACTGACTAGAAGGGCAATTGGCGTCCTCTGTAGCTCACCCCAGGATCCTCCATGCGGATGAACTAGCCGGTTTCCGTACCTTTGTTTTACAGAACATTGTTGGAAAGGAGGTGCTCCAAATACTACAGTAGCAGTTTTCTTACCCGACTCCTTGGAAACTCTGTGCAGGGTCACACTATGAGTCAGAACGACTCAATGGCACTCAACAACAACAGCTCCTAAATGAAGGACCCCAAGTGATTAAAGGGTTTGACTGCTAACCACAAGGTTGATAGTTCAAACCCACTCAGGAGTAAGTTGAGGCAGTCTGCTTCCATAAAGTTGACACCCTTGGAAACCTTATGGGGCCATTCAGCTGTCTTGCAGGGTCACTATGAGTCAAAATAGGCTCAACAGCAGTGGGCTGGCTTGGTTGGGTTTAGACTCACAAATGCTTACTTGAGTGTATGTATCTACTGCAAATTGGAATTCCAACAGCACATGCGCAGAGTCAGAAGTTCAAGCTTGGATGACAGCAATCTGCAACATGGACTCTGAGTTGACGGCTAATTTGGTCAGGTAGAACCGAGGACTCCAGGAACTGTGTTCTTGAAAGAGAGAAGAGTAACAAGTCCAGAAAACAAATAGTTTACCAAACAGGTGTTTGGGAGTCTTTTAAAAACCATAATTCCCAAGTGCAGAACCCTGTACCAAGCAAGTGAAGGCTGACCCCCAAATCAAGAGCAGGGTCCCTATCTCAGACCTTGACACCAGGAAAACATGTTGTTGTTAAGGTGCCAAGTCAGTTCCAACTCATAGCGACTCTATGCATAACACAACAAAACATTTGCCTGGTCCTGCACCATTCTTACCATCTGTGAGAATAAGCCCATTGCTACTGACACTGCCAGTCCGTCTCATTGGGAGTCTTTCCTCTTTTTTGCTGACTCAGGAAAACATCAAAAACCAAAATCCAACCCACTGCCCTCAAGTTGATTCTGACTCATAGCAGCCCTACAGGACAGAGAGGAACTGTTGCACTGGATTTCCAAGACTGTGATCTCTGTGAAAGCAGATGGCCACAGCTTTCCTCCACGCAGTTACCTGGTGGGTTTGAACTGCTAACCTTTCAAACTTCCAACCACTGCATCATCTCCAATAGAAAGCAAAAATGCATGCTGAGCCTCTATGGGTTGGGATCCACTTGGATAACTTTCTTATCCATTGAGTGTCTGCCTGCTTGGCTTCTCAGTACCCTGTCCTCCTAATCTGTCCCTCACTGGGCCGTCACCTGCTCACTCAGCATTGTACCTCTAGTCCCTGGGTCGACCTGAGCCGTAGTAGGTGCTGGAGTACTGCTTGAGCGAATTGATTTGTGCTCGTTGTAGAGTGGCTACCCATCACCAAAATGATCTGTGAGTCTGTTTAAAACAGTGAGTCTTTACACTGGAATGGCCAAAATTGTTGAAAAGAACCTCAACAGTCGCCTCGGTTTCCATCCCACCTTAGTTTGTGGGAAGAAATCCCTTGTCCTGATGCTAAGTGCCATTGATTCTGACTCATAGCGACCCTGTATGAGGTTTCCAAGGAACGGCTGGTGAGTTTGAACCACTGACCTTGCAGTTGCAGACCACATTGTGGTCCAGTGCTTATTATATAGCACCACACCTAGAGATTATAATTTGATAAATACATTCATGTGCTCACTCTGCAAATACTTGGGGATTAAGTGAAATACTTGACAAACTGGAAGGTATGAAGTGTTGGTCCCAGAGCACCCTGCCAGCTCTGGTGTGTAAACCTCCACCTGTGTGATCTGGTAGGAGCATTAGCCTAAGGGACAGACCTAAGACTGTCCCCTGTTTGGCGATAACCATCGGGGGAAAGGTGTAGTATCGGTGTAACATGTTTGTATGTTGACAAATCCGATCCTGCTCTTGCCTGTGTCTGCTGTGCTCAGAGTTCTAGTCTGGTTAGGTTTCTCTTCCACAGTAGGGCTGACTCCCAGCCAGCAGTGGAACCTTGCCTTTGGTTCGTAGTCAAAACGCAAGATCCATTTTTGAGGTCAGAACAGTTCTTGTATGAAGGGAGGTTTTGTTTATAGTAACCCACCCATCTGATGAGTGTGAGCACTTGGCTAGCCTTTCTGGCGGAAACAGCCCTTTGATCTGTTGCCTGGAATGCATGCCTTTCGCTCCTGACCTCTCTTCTGGGTCAGAGATGTGCCTTTGCCCTCTGCTGGATGTACACCCCCAACTCACATGCACAAATTGACATATACAAACACAGTAACACGCATGCACTCAAATATACACACTCACACAGACACTTTCACACGTACACACACACAAACTTGCACAAACCCTCCATCCGTAGTTGCTTCCCCAAGGAAGCCGTACGTGAGGCCGCCCCACAGATGGTGTTGGATTCTCTGTGAGCTGCTCACAGCTCCTAGCAGTCATCTGGTGGTTAGCTACTTGCCTCTCTGTTTATGGTAAGTGTCCCACAGTTTAATTAGCATATCACTTTCTAATGCATCTACAAGTGTTATTGTATAAAGACATGCTATATAATCTGCCTTCTCTCTCCTCTTCCCAGTGCTCCTGAAGTTCCGCACAGATAAAGGGAGAGACCCCAGTTCTGATACCTGTGGGGAAGATTCTGAGTTGCTGCTCCAGATTCGAAATGATGTGCTTGACTCTCTGGGAGTCAGTCCTAACCTGCTTCCCGAGGACTTTGTCAGGTTGGTCTCCACATGAATCACAGGTTAGCCTGTATAGACACACACCCGTTTCCGTATCTGATTCCGTTTTGGGAAAATCCTTTTTGAAGACCCAACCCCTGAGAAGAAGGCTCTTTGTCACAGTTGGCCAGCTCCCATAGGCTTTTGCCTGTCCGTTGGTGTGCCAATGTATGAAAACCACAGAGAGCTACAGGGTCTGTTTTTTTAAAATATGTGTTTTATAATCACATGGTTTTAAATTTCAAGCAATGTAAATCTACCTCGTGTTCTGCCCTTTCCTCCTTTTACTTCCCATACTCTTTGGGAGGTTTTCAGGCTACTCCACCTTCCCCACTTCTCCTGGTAGCTCTGTGTACTCTGGCATGTGACATACCTGTAGCTGACAACCTGGTCCCTGCCACCTCAGTCATGCCCAGGCATTGCTGTTACATCCTGCTGGCATATGTAACCTTGTGTTTGTCATGTCCATAGGCTAGTGACTAGATAAAGGGGATGCTGCGCCTGAAGGAGGTGGTTTTTGTTTGGCAGGGGTGGTCATGTTGCCCTCCTTATGTGATCCGTCAGTTTATAGCACCAGCAATGTCTCAGCATGGGGCCTGGGATGTTCTCACTCAGGCCAGCCGTCTTTTGCTCTGATGCACAGACAAGTTCAGGTGTTGGGTAGAGAGGTCCAAGGGGGGAACCAGGTCCTGGGCCCCTTTAGAGCAGCACTGGGATTCTCTACTCCCTCCAGCCTTCCTTTGGGAGACTTTGTAAAGTCTGCTGCACTCTGCCACCAGGTTGTAGCCGTAATAACGAAGTAGTGGTTAGGTGCTGTCCAGTCAGTTCCAACTCATAGCAACCTTGTGTGAAGCAGAATGAAACTGCCTGGTTCTGATCATCCTCAGAGGTGTGAGGTGTGAGGTGTGAGGTGTGAGGTGTGAGGCCATTGCAGCCACGTTGCCTTAGTCTATTTTGTTGGCGGTTGTTTTCGTTGGCCCGCTACTTTTTCTTTTTGAGTTTTTATGGTTTGATTTAGTACAAATAAAACTTCTGTACAAGCTGTCTCTTCATGTTCTCTGCACCACCTGTCCGTGGGATTGGTGACTGATGGCCAGTGGACTGTTCTTTCCATGATGGCTTCACAGTTCTGAGAGGAGACACGGCGACACACTTCCAGCATTGGGAGGTGGCCACACAGCAGCAGCACTTCCAGATCCTGGACATTGTGCCCCACGGACTTGGAAAGCTGCTGGACGGCTTCTGCCCTGTCCTCTTGTTGCCCCTATAGCCAGAGTTAGGCATCAAGAGCTGGCTTATCAATCTCTGCACCCTGTCGTTGCTCCTCTGCATCACACTTAATTTTGACCTAACAATTGGCTTGGTGCCGCATGAACTTCTTGGTCTTTTTTTTTTTTTTTTTTTTTAACCATCTTGGGCTTCACCAGGAATCTCAGTGTAGCCATGATGCTTGGTAGGAAATGGCAGCTGCTCTGTAGACTGCACTGAGGAAGAGCTGACCCTTGGCTTTACCAAGCATGATGTCCTTCTCCAGGGACTTGTCCAAAGTCCTGCCATCCTTGCTTCTAAGTAACTTTCTGACTGTACTTCTTCTAAGATTGCTTGTTCTGTCTTTTTTATAAAAAACAACCTGCCTTTGAGTCAATTCCAACTCACAGTGACTGGATAGGACAAAGTAGAACTGCCCTGTAGAGTTTTTGAGTTTATGAAGCAGACGCTTCATCTTTTCCTGTGGAACGGCTGGTGGATTTGAACCACCAACTTTTGGGTTAGCAGTTCAATGCTTAATCCACTGTGCTACCAGGTCACCTATTCTTTTGTCAGTCCATGGTATATTCAATATTTTTTGTTCCAATACTGTCATTCAAAAGCATCCATTCTTCTTCTGTCTTCCTCATTTATTGTTCAGCTTTCACATGCTAATGAGACCAAACTTCCAGACTGAGAATGTCCAGGAAGAAGGACCTGATAATTTTCCCTCCGCCAAAAAAAAATGAAATTAGCCATTGATAACCTTTTGGATAGTAGTGTAATAGTGAAAGCTACAAGTAATTGAGTGAATATTATGTACCATCCACCAAGCTCATTGCTTCGTATACATGGTATCCAAAATCTTCCAAACAATCCAATTTATAGATGAAGAAACTCAGATCAGAGAAGCTAAGTGACTCACTCATGGTTATAGAGCTAATAATTGCACCATTTACCGAAGAGTCTCTGTAGGTTACATGCTCAGACCCAGTAAGCCCCTGAGGTATGTATAATAATTTTCCCGTTTTCTAATGAAGAAACTGAGGCACTCAGAAAAATACGATCACTGGCCCAAGATCTTATTAAGTGACCGGCCAGGATCCTGCTGCAGAGCTCCCTGTGTGCTGGTCGCTGGGAAACTCGGTTTGTTTGTTTCCAGCAATTCCGTTGATTGCACTCACTTCTTTTCCTCGTCCCTTCTTTCTTCACTTCTTCTTGGGAACCTCTGACACTGCTAATGAGGACCAACAGGAGTCTTTGAACCATCCCCCACAGAACCCAGGAGCAAAAAGTGTTGGCAGCAGTGGGGAGGTGCTTTGGGAAGTTGGCAGTGTGTGAGCAGGGCACATGGTACTGTGGATGTGCTCCCCTTTAGGCTAGCTCTGGAAAGGGGAGAGCAAGTGAGAAGTAAGTGCTGCTGTCTGGATTTCCTAGCATTGCAGGGCTAGGTCACCCAGGGATTCATTTCCAACAGGCCCTACCTGGCCATCAATGTGTCCACAGCCTCAACATCTTCCCAGAGCTGGGCACAGGCGCCAGTCCGTGAGTGTGCAGCCTAGTGATTCATTTGGGCACTTAGTGTGAAGAACTACCTGACTGACAGCTTCCCAGAAGAGGAAGGTCCAGCCTTCGGAGCCCTGCTCTCTGCAGACACCGCTTCCCTGAGTCCCGCTTCCCTGAGTCGAGGCCCCATGCGCCCCATGCGCTCCAGCACTCCCTCTTGAGCACCCTTTAACTAAGAGGCATTCAGCCGCCTCTTGAAGTCTGTCTGGGCAACTCATCATCCCTTGCAGATTGCCTGTCACCTCCTCAGAGAGAGCTCGTGCACCAGCCTCTGTTCCCATCATCTTCCGAATATACTTGTGCGACCCTGTGTGTGACTTCGGTGGACTCACTTTTCCAAGAACTCTAATGCTTTTCTGGTTTTGAAGGTACCAGGTGCCTATTGCCAGAAAGTGTAAATAAAAGGGGAGGAAAGGCTTGCCCAGAACCCCACCATTCAGAAGTAGCATTTGCATCTAGCCTCAAACTTTTCATTTACAAGTATCGAAATGGGATCTTACTATGCTTACTCTTTGTGATAGTGTTCTGTTTTCATTATGGTGTGAACCTGTTTGTGTATATTCTTTCTTGGAGTTCTGGTCTGGCTCTGTGGGTTAATGTGCTGGAATGCAAAGTTGGTTTGAACCACAAGGTCTATGGTTCAAGCTCACCAGCTTCTCAGAAACCCTATCCAGGGTCTCTGCGTTGGAACCAACTTGACGGCACTTAACAACAACGTATACTTTCTTGGGAGTCCTGGTGTGTTATTGTAGGATAAGCACGTGTCCGCATGGTTGTTGTGAACAGCAAGATCGGCAGTTCAGACTCATCAGCTGCTCTTCAGAAAGCCTATACAACACCACCAACATATCCTTTCTTAAGGAGCCCTGGTGGCACAGTGATTAAGAGCTTGGCTGCTAACTGGAAGGGTCAGTGGTTTGAACCCACCAGCCGCTCAGTGGGAAAATGTGGCCGTCAGCTTCCATAAAAATGACAGCCTTAGAGATTAGAGACTCTGTGGTGCAGTCCTGCTGTCTTGGAGGGTCACCAGGAGTCAGAATTGCCTCTGGCAGTGGGTTGGGTTTTGATACAGCATGGCTTGTACTTCATGATGTTCTAGGTACGTGGTCATTTATTTTACGACACCTTATATTATTGGATATTTAAGCTATTTTTGGTTTATAAGTACTTTATTAATGTTCATAAATTATACATTTACTATAACTTGATGTTTTTTAAATAAATAAATGTTATAGAAAAATCAGTTAGTACAGAACAAGCTCAAAGATGAAAATGGAAACTGCCCAGAAAAACAACCCTGACAATTTCATTTTATTTAGTGTTGTATCTTTTCTGTTGTTGTTGTTAATTACCGTCAAGTTTGTTCCAACTCATATTAACCCTGTAATCTATTGATTGATTTATTTACTTTCATTCTAAATGTTATTTATATCTTGGTTGTTATTTTTATTTAATATTCCGTACTCCTTGATAGTAAGGGTGACTGAAAAAGAATGCTGCTTTTTTAGGAAGCAGATTTAAGAGAGAAATTTTGGAAAAGCTTGAAGAGCTAATTCTGTCGGACCACACAGTGTTTGCAGGAAGTTCAAGTGAAAACGAGTGAGCACGGCATGCTCTGCAGGTGGATTCAGGCATGGGGACTGTTGTACTTTTTGTCATGAAGGTAGGAGTGGGGGGCACAATGACATGAGATTCTCACATGTAGCTAAGTTCATCGTTGCTCTTGATTCTTGTTGTTAGATGCCCTGTGTCAGCTCCGACTCGTAGTGTCCACCCATGCACAGTCGAACAAAACACTTGTAATTTAGAACAGGGACTGGCAAATTACAGCCCACCTCCTATTTTTGTCAAGAAAAGTTTTATTGGAGTGCCCACATGTGAGTGCTTTTGAGCTGTAATGCAGAGTTTGATTAGTTGCAACAGAGACTGCGATAGGGTGCACAAAGCCCCAAATATTTACTGTCTGGTTCTTTACAGAGGTTTTTCTAACCCCTGATCTAGAATAGTTTTGTATTTTTTGTTTTTTGAAGAGTCTAGACTAGCTGTTTTGTAGAATATCTCACATTCTGGATTTGTGTAATTTCTTGTGGTGTTTATTTTCTCTTTTTTTGTGTGTGTGTGTATGTGTGTGTGTGTGTTTTTTTTGTTTTTTTTTTTTCTTTTTTTAAAGAAATTGACGTACAGTG